ATGAGGCCGCTCGACAAACTGATAGGCTTCTTCCCAACTGGTATCTTCCTCTCTAAACATCAAGTCAAACTAAAGTAAAACACTTATATCAGTGCATTAAGGTAACTCAAGACTAAGTACTCACTAAGAATGGCCTCCACTTTGTGCTTATCTGACCGTGTATGTCCTAATCTCCATCAATTAAAGCCAAGGGGATTTTCTTAGAAGTTAACTCTGGTGTTTGGTGGCATAATCAGAGGATTCTATGAGACATCCCTCTATTGCAGTGTACTGTGTTGTCAACCTTAATTTACACCTCTAACAAAATGTTAACAAATTAATTCATTTTAAGAAATTATTTTTGTACAAACATTGTAGAGAAAAGTGATTTTATATACAGTGGTGTTTGGGGGGGTCAAAACAGGCAAGATGGTGTCCACCATATCTGCAGTCTTGCTTCTTTTGGGCCCCACCTCTATGGATGCTGCTGATTATATATAGTGCTCTTAATCACCTATACCTCTGATTTAACACTGGCATGTTAAAATATGTAAACCAAATGTAATTCCAGATATAAAGACATCCCATGTAGGCTAACCTTCTGATAAGCAGAGATTCCCTGTATGATATCTGTAAACACTTGTCCTTTGAGAAATATAGACTAGCCCCAAATATATATTCTGTTCTGTCCTGTTAATATATTCTGTTAAAAATATATGTGGGAACACCATCCAAGGACCATGGGAGAAGTGCTTCCCAGAATTAAAAAAGTTAAGCCAGGCCAGTTGCATTTACCACGTAACTTATGTGTAAGAACATATACTATTTGACATCCCCTGGAAAGGGAAATGGACAATGGCTTGGTTTTTGTAATTTAGTTGTTTTAAACCCCTGAAGATGTGGGACTCTTTAACTAAAAATATGTACTGCATCATACAATATAAAGATTCAGAGATCCTTAAAGTCTCTTTTGTTTTGAGGTTAATAAGGCAACTCTGCTTTATACTTCAAACTGATAACTTCTTATAAAGCTTAGAAATGTCATTAAGAAATTTCTCACAATTTTACAATTGATATCTTAGAAAAATAAGCAAAATTCTGTTTCTTATTAAAAAATAAATTATTTTGGCAACTCCAACTACTATTTGGATGAGAGCAAGGATACATTATGCAAGACAATTTGCCCATTCAGTTGCTCTCTTCTTGCATTCAGAGGTAGGCTGAATACATATAAAAAAAACTTTCTTCCAGTTTGCAGTCCAAATGCACTTAGACTTTTCCATTTGCAAGATTAAGTCAGTTCAAAGGAGATAACAGTAAATGAGTTAAAAATAAAACCAGCTACAGAGAGGTAAAAAATACTGTTGCACAAGAATCTCCATATAAAAGTTTTAAATTAATCATCTCTGTCTGCTTCACAATGATACAGAGACAAAGCAACGTTTTTGTTTTTTCATAAAGAGTCAGGCAATTAAGATAAGGAGAAGTAGCAGAAAGTACCAAGTTTCTTTTAGAACCTGATCTTCACGTTACCAGGTTTCTTCTTATCCTTGTAGCTTTGAAAATATATGCAAGGGGTTGTCAGAATTGGATAAACAATAAGCTAGTGTACTGTAATAACAAAGATGACTGTCAATATCAATTAAGTGATCTGCAATATAAGGAGCAATAATTATAGCCTTAATCAAGTTCCACATATAATTTTATGACTGTGTCTATGTTCATATTCTGTTTTGAGGCAAATTAGAGAAATTCATTACTACAGAGAATAATCAATTGTCTAAGTAACTGGGGTGATAGAAGGGCAAGATGGTACATTAAGATATGTATTTGGTACTGAAATTAAAATTGAGAATGTCACTCTTACTCATTTGGTCTTTGGGGTCTTTAATTCAAACTAGCTTCATGCCATGAAAAGCCGAAACATTCAGACTCCAAACAGAAATGTTAAATTTTAGTTTTTAGACTCCAAAGTCCAGGTATGCAAGATTTTGACAAAAGTGATGAACATTCTTTCTCTTGAGGGAAAGAGGATTCTCTGTTGAACTGGAATGGGACTGTCAGAACTTTTCAGGCTATTAGAAGTGCTGTAGGGCTAAATGGCAATAGTCAGGCACCCATTTTTCCCAGTATTTTTGCCAAAGTCAGACTTATTTGCTTACTTATCCCCTTAGACACAACTAGTTTTTAATTTCTAAATTCAAAGGTGATTATGCTGTCTGGGAATAATATTCTGATTGCAGAGCTCTTAACCTTTGATTTCAGGGATGAAGGGCTTCATTATCCCCTTCATTATCCTTAGTGAAAAGGAAAAGGCCTGGTTAGCATGCCTGAGGGATACCATTCCTTCTTACACTATCTGGTATAAAAAGATACCACCGCAGTTGTGAATTCCAGCTTAAACCCTTTCAATGCTAAACCTAGAATGTAATTACTACTACATTTGAATATGTTTTTAAGACTTATTCTTCAAAGGTATTTATGAATAACTATTATACATCCTTAACGTCTCCAAACGAAAAAATTGTTTGGTTCCTTTGGGGATGAACATGTTCCAGTAACAGATTTCAAAGTTTCAAGAAGAAAGCTTAATAGCCAACCTATCTTTCAAAAAGTTTCATTTGTTACTTTGGATGCTTTTTAGAGACTGTACCAGTGACAAGGACCTATTTTTTGGACCAATTCCTACCATAGCACACTTGTAATATCTAAAATCTTGCTACCATATGGGTGGACCCAATCATACAGATCTATACCATACAAAATTGTCGTCCAATTTGGATCAAAATTCATGACAATATGATAATCATTCATAGGTTTGGTCCTGCCTATGTGACAGTAGAATTTTGAAAGATTACCCCCCTCAAAAATTACATGTCACAACACTGGTTTTCCAGTTAAATAGCATCTCACCTTCAATAGCAAGAAAGGATGCATTTATATCCCAGTTTTTCTTATTAAATTTCCATGAAAAAAAGTACTGGAAGATGGTTCTCATGCTTACAAATCTGAGTCACAATACAATTTTATTGTTTTGGCTCTTTGACATGGCCACTTTGTAATAAAGTTCACACTTTGCAAACATTTATTAACAACTGTAGTGAACAAGTGGCATTTAACCTTGGTGCTATTATCAGACTTAAATATTGTAATGAGCATCAAGTTAAAAAGCATTGATGAAGCAGTTAGGACTATAACCTTCCATCTTCAATGACAGAAAATAAATCTGCTAGTCTGTTTTGTTTTAATATAAACGGGACACATATTTTCCTCTTATGAACCCAATTATCCTTCCCCAATTTGGTGCCTTCCAAATGTGATGGTACTACAATTCTCAAAATTCCAGTACTGGGTAGAAATTATGGGAGTTGTACTCCCAATGCAGCTGGAGAACATCAGATTGGGAAAGTATGATCAAGGCAGTTTTCAACATGCTCCTGAAATCCCATATATACTTATAGCTATTATTGTTGATAGTACCTTCACAAATGTTTTCAGTTTAAGTCACAGCATCTTTAATGCTTACATGTACACAAATTAAATTTATTACAAAATCATTCAAATAGCTTTCTAAAAAATGCCAATTTGAATGAGGCTTCTTAGTAACTGCTAATAAATGAGTAAAGATCATTCTGCATCGTACTGAGATTTTTGTGCAGTGCAATCTCATGCACATTTATTCCAAAATTAAGTTCCCCTGGCCTAGTTTGCATGCTTAACACTCAGTTTGCCAAACTGTACAGGTAGTTCCCAGGTTAAGAACACCTGGATTACGGACGACCCATAATTAAGAACAGAGCCTACTGGAGCAAAATTTGAGTTAAATACACAATGATTCCAATTAAATACACAATGGTTTGAGTTCATTACACAGTTCTACTTATACAGTATTATACAATAATACCGTTCCAGCTTACATACAAATTTGATTTAAGGATAGACCTTGGGAATGGAACTCGTACTTAAACTGGGGACTACCTGTAGTTTAGAACCTAGAAAAGAAAAATGGCACCACTCATTTCTTCCCTCTCTCCTCTTAGTTTAATGAAAAGATAGTCATGATGTCCAAAACAGAACATGCAGTTTCATATTATCTATGAACCAGGAATTTAAAGCAGCATCAAACTGTTCAAGTATTTTACAAACATGATCAATCAACTTGCTTATTCCTGTCTGCTAAACTGTGATTTTGCAATCTGGAGTCAAGGTGGATTTATTTTCAGAAGTAAACATGCATGAGGCTGCCACCACAAGAATGTCAGTTCAATTCAGTGAAGTCTATGCAGGTTGAAATTAAACTAAAATATCATGAGGACTGAGCCATTAAGAAAATTAAACTTTACCTCAATGTGTTTCTATTCAAAATGTAGTTTTAAATTAAAAACTTAACCTGACTGGCATAACTTCATAGCAGTTTCCTATGAGAAGAAAGGGTCTTTCCAATGTTTGTCAGAGTCACAGATTTAACTTCATACATTAATCTTGCCAGCCTTTTTAAATGCCACCAAAAATGCTCATCTTTAAGATGAGATACCAGTATGAAGACTAAATGGAACAATACAGAAAGAATATCAGAGTTAATGTCAGTGCAGGCAAGGAAATGTTGACATAAACTTCCTCTTCAATAGGAACTTTTCTTCAACAAAAAGTATATATGTTCAACTTTCACTCCACACAACTTGCCCATCTTTTTATTTTAAAAAATGCTTTTTTTTTGGCCTTAAGCAGAGTTTGTGTGAAGCTGAAGAGACTTCAGTAATTTTGTACTTTTATGAAAAAGCCTGCTCAATGACGTATTTCATCCATCTTATTTTTATTTCAAATATGATCAGAAGAGAAAAAATAAACTGTCACACTATAAAAATAATATATCTTATTGTAGTTTCCTTTATGCCATAGTAAATATCTACATTTGAAAGATACTTTCCCCAAAATAGCATTTACACACACAAATGTCCTGAGAGAAAATGACAGATTTTTAATGTAGAGTAAAAAAAAAAAAAATCAATTCTGTTACCCACTTTTCTTGTGTCCTTTGTACTGCTGTGATTTAGACTTTTTCTTCTGCTTTGATGAACTTGACTGGCTATCTCTTGAAGCTGAAATTTTTTTAAAAAAGAAGATACTGCTTTAACACAACTTTATAGCATATTTCAAAATACTTAGAAAACAGAGTCTTCTGTGAACCCAAGAGCACACCTATAAAAAATATTTACAGATAAAATGACCTGGCCAATAACAATACTATCAGAAGCACTTATATGCAATGTAGTTTTTTGGCCAATGCCTACTCAAATTGTGCACAGCCTTATTTATTTATATCAATTTATATGGCTGCCCATCTCACACAAGGTGACTGGGTGGCATACAACAATTAATAAAACAATAAACATAAAAAACGGTCAATATTAAAAAATGTAAAAAAAAATCACAGGGCACAAGACAGAATAGATGTTAACCACAGTAATGGAGCCATTTTAATGGTTTTAATGATTCACATTAATATTCTGACTAACCAGAATGGTTCAGCTGAAAATTAAGAACTGGGTTGGGCAGGACAGAAAACTCTTGTTACTTTTCTAATCAGGCAAAAATTGAAGCTTATTGGGGAATAATTATTTTATTTTACACATGCTAATTTACACAATCTTTTAAACTGTGCATTTTTTATGTGACCAGTACAATGCATATCTAAATGAGCCATTCTACTCAGGCTATAGTATAGAACAGTTATGATTAGATTGCACTGGTACTATGACAAGATTGCAGTGCAGGAGGAAAGAGCAAAAATCTCTTTCCTCCTGCAGTCAGAATGTTGAGATAGATGGTAAAATGCATGTACTACAATTCAATCAGAAGATATAAACTTTGAAGGAAAAGCATTCAAGCAGAAATACTACACCACAGGGAAGTACAAAATTCTGTAGTCTGGTCACAGATAATATTCTACGTTTCCTAGAACATTCTTTTTTTCTTCTAGATCTGGCCATTCTGGGTGCAGTTGTTTTCTGAAAGTGTTTTTTTCAGAACAGGGCATGGTTTGCTGTGTTCCAGATACAGACATCAACCACAGCCTGTACCAGAGGAATCCTTAGCAAAAATGATGAATCCATTCCTGGAATGACTGTATCAATGTATTTTATAGAACCCAGAATATTCATAATCAAACACTGGAGTTTTATTGCACACAACTAGTACAAAACAAAGCTGTAAGTAGAAAGTATTATAGAGTAAGAATACAAGGATAAGTGTGGGGGGATGCAAACTCAATTTGGAAATACCAAAGACAACAGCATTCTAGTTCTTCATCACGGTCTCTTTGCAACAGCCATATGGGTGGTGCATCTCCACAGTAAGTGGAGAACGTTTTATAGCCAAGGAGAACTTTTGTAGGAAGCTATGCCTTATACTACACATGTCCCTGGGCATAATTCTTACTCTCCTTTCAGTTAATTTTCAATTATCGCAACAGTAATTATGTTCTTCCTCTTATTTCAACACAGCTGAGAAAAAAGGACATAATTTCTCTTTTGATCATTGTCAACTTTCTTCTCTTCATCTTTTTAGGCTTACCATTAACAACATTTTATTCCTCCCTCATCTCATTATAGATTTTCAATAACAGACACTCAGCACCTTCTCAGTGAGACTTCTATGTTTGCTGCATCTTAAGCCCCCTTTCCATAACCATTCAGTGTAACAGTAAATTATCACCAACTGCCTGCTTTGGCCTTGGTGAACAATACTTCATGGATTCTTTCCGGCTGTCAAGACTTGTACAGTACAGCTCATTCAGAAGCAAGAATCACACAGACTTCAATAAGGAATTTTGATAAAAGAATTAGGGTTAAGGTTCAGAATCTTGGAAATTGTGATAGGAGCCCCCAGTTCATGAAGGCAGAGTTTCTTTGAATGTTCTAAATCTCTTCTTCCTGGGCTTTTTGCACCTGGGACTGAGTTCCATTTATTAGCTAAGCCACTAACAAGTTCTGCTACCTATCTGTTACTTAATAAATAATTCATTATTAATGAGTTGACTATCGGTGGCTTACGATCAGTAATCTGTAATAAAATATCTACAGTATAATCAAATAAAAATAAATTTTAGTTATTTAAAACATTTATATATTTGTATAAAATATTCTAGAGTTCCTCCCATTTTTTTCCTCAGCCTCCACTAAAATTTTATAAAATGGGCTAGGAGAAATAAATCTGCCTGCTTTTTGGGTCCCCTTTAGAAAAAGTACACCTTGCAGCCTGTCCACAGAACCCATTTTTCAGAAGGATAGATCCATACAGCCTCATTCTATCTGGCTGAGCTCTGTCTCTGTGCTGAATTACTTTGTAACGGCATCTGTTCTTCAACACATCTACTTGCATTGGAGCACTCCCTGACTGTAACTTCTAAGAAAAAATTAAACTAGAGTCCTTCTAAACATTCCATTCCTCAACTTGATCAGAATAGGAGGAAGACACATTCCAAAAACAGCTGAGAGAATAGTAATCCATCTGCTATCTGCTCTAACACTGCTCTGGCAATTGTTCAAGTGCTGCCACCATTACTGAACCCACATTTTTCTATACTTTTCAGGGGTGTCAGTGTGAGGTGGCACAGTGTATCCTGAAGGCAAACGTTTAGATGGATTCAACTTTTTATGGGAAAGTTAGAGAACTTTCCTGCAAAATGCTTCTTCCTATCATTATTGATAGGGATTATCTTGCTATTTCCTACCTCACATCTGCCATCAATGTATTCTGTGGATTCCACCTATCAGGAATTTTCTCTTACACAATGTCAATCCTAAACACTGGTGCTGGTATTTGCAATTATCATCCCAAGACTCACTTACTTACTGATACATTACCTACTGATTTTTTTTTATTTTCAAATTTGTACATTGCCTTGCAAAGCCAGGTTTTTCCCCCTATCATTCTAGTACATACAATAAAATTAGGTTAATAGGAAAGAAGGCTCCAGGAAAAAAATCTTTCTTAAGGATAGCTGAAGTTTTATGTTTGTTGGGAAGAGAGGAAAATTAGTGGATAAAGAGTACAGAGAAAGCACACAGTGAGGTAAAAAAAAAAAGAAAAGAAAAGAAATTAAGGAAATAGTGGAGGTACAAGGCAGAGTAATATGAAGAACTAGAAAGAATATAGGCAAAGGTTAACATGAGGCCTTGCAACTTAAGATATTGTATATTATTAAGAATTAAGTAGCCAAGAGTACTGAGAACTGGGAGGTTGTGCACCAGGGATCTGCATTTGATTCTAGATGTTGGGTCTTGTGGGTCTGTAGAGAAAGCACAATACGTTGTGCAAACTTGAAGTTGGCCCACCTCCAGTATGTAAGGCTTTTAATAGGAAGCAATATTTATGGAACAGATTTTTTTATTTAGAAAACCAAAATTACCATAATCCAGAAAACTAATATTTATGGGAGGGGAATGCCTATTCTGCTATATACTAAATTAAAAAATCTGAATAAATGTCAGGAAGAGCAAGTTTGGAACCATGCACTAGAGCAAAGATCTTTCCAACTAAGCTTATGCATCTATGCAAACTTTTGAGTTCATCTTTATTATAAAGGCATATATATTGTAATACATTTTAATGAAGCAACTCCTTATCCTCTAAATATCTGTAAAAACAAAACAAAACAAAACTGAAGCTATAAGAACATTTTGAAGGGAGTTCAAATTAGATCCAGCAATTTAGAGTTATTAAGCAAGTGTCTGAAATGTATTGAGCCAGCTTGAAACTTAGCAGAATTTCAAAAATGAAGACAAAATTATTGCCATAGGAATCTGTTAAATATCAGAAATGGAAGATTCTAAAAAAGTTCACCAATTACTTACATTGTGATGCAGGAGGCTGTAGCTGGTAACCTGTTAGCTGACACCACCCTACAGGATAGAGGTCAGGAGATTCACAGTCTACCCACTGATCATATTCATCCTCCCAGCCATCAAAATGTATCCTCAACAGACGATGGATTATGCGAGTTACTGTGGCCACACATACTAAACGAGGTTCCATGAGATCCACAGCTTCCAGTTTCATTGCAACGTGAAACCCATGGTTTGGAACTTCCTGGAACAGGGGAATAATCAAACTTATTACACTAAGTGGATTTGTACATCATCTCAAACTATTATTTTGTTAACTATGGTTTGTTGAATAAACAAACACTGGATGGATTCCCATATCATACTAAGCCTTAAAACACAATTTATAATTCATCATGACTGACTTCATATAACATGCTGAATCGCCATCAAACAAATCACATTATGGCTTAGTGCGATGTGAGAACTCAGTCATTATGTGTGAAAATCAAAGCTTTACTATAAAAACATTCACAAAAATTCTGCCTTCTCATCTTAGCACAGAACATTCTGTTCTTAGCCTCTGGACATTCCTGCTCTGCTGATACTACACAAGCAATGACAAGAACAGAATAAGCATGAGCATTCAATCTCCCAGAACCAGCACCTATATACTTATTGCAGTCTGGGTACAAATCCCATGTTTTGGAGATCACAGACAGAGATTACTTGGTATTGATTTAAGATTAATTTTTTTTATGTGGTAGAGGCAGGTTAAGATGAATGGGACAAAAATATGCACATGTACATTTAGGAGAAATAAGTTCTGAAAAAGATATCAAAGGGGAAAAAACTCTCTCCAAAAGATTTCAGGGACAAGGGCATGTCCCAATTCTCAGTTTATAACAATCAGATCTTAAGTATTCCCAATATATTCAGTCATTATTCTCATTGCCTATTTGTGACTAGACCAATTCTATTCATTCATATTAGTCCTCAAATTGCAATGTTTTTCAAAGTACAAGCACACAACAAAAAAATGTGACAAACTTGGTAATACTTTAAAATGTAACATGGGCATTGCCATGGAAAGCTTGTTTGAATAACAAATAGTTACAGTTCTTGTGTGGGACTGAATTATACATGCATGTAATAGGCAAATGGGCTTAGAATATGAATGGAATCTAAACAGTATATGAGACATGAGTCAGTATTCGAAAGTATGCCAATATAAAAACAAAATTTATAGTGTCCACTTTCTAGAACACCAAAATATATTGCCAAGTAATATAAATTATAAATTATATAAATTATAAATATATATGAATATAAAACTTATATTCCTTGGTTTGGGTATTTTCTACTTGATTGTTTGTCTGGTGTTAATCCCTGCTTACCTGATACCCTAATCAAGGAATTACCAAGGAGAAAACCATACCCCCACTAACAGGGCAAACTACTGTATATAAACAGGGAGCAAACCCCACACTCACTAGCACTGATGATGTTACCTAGTCGGGTAATGAAATGTCTGCAAGCAAACAACCCAGCTCAGAGAGCACCAAGCACTCCACAGTTCAACTCTGAGTTACATGTATTCTCTAAGTTATATATTGCTAAGTAACATGTTCAATGTAACCCAAAGCAATGGTTTCTTAAACACCTCCCAAGGCCATTTTATATAAATGTATATATGAAATTATGTACTGTATATATTTACTTAGAATTAAGTCTTACTGTCTTCATATGAGGCTGATTCCCAATTAAACTGAATTTAATGAGCTTGTTTCCTGGTAAAAGTGCCTCCAAATGCTGCCTTACCTGGGAATAATTCACATTTAACATAATAGGATTAACTCCTGGAATACACTGCCTGTCTGTTTATCCCTATTCAGAGCTTCTGTTTTGTTGCTGGCCTATTGTGGCCTTTTTAAAAGCAGTTTTATAAGCAGAAAATCCTGAAGTAAATAGGGAAGCTTGACCTTTTGATTTCTGCAGGTTTCAGTTTAGGGACAGAATCTTGAAAAGGGGGAGATGGAGGACAGCAGCAAAGAGGCAAGCTTTACCTATCTTTCCTTCAACTCCCTTCTTGCCACCTACCAAGTTGGTAAGAAGCAAGAAAGAAGGATATAGAATGGATCCAAAGGGACCATAGGTGAGTATTCCAAAATGCTGCTGCATCTGTTATAAAAGAACCCTGTCCTCCCCCATCCCATCACCTTTGAAAAGGTGGCTCCAGTTCATTTCACCTCCTGTGAGAAGAAAATGAAAGGAGCTGGCTGCTGCACAGATCAAGTTGAGTGGCAGCTTTAGACCTTGCACTTCCTTCCTTTACCCCATTCTGTAGCTGTTTCACCAAAATTACAGAGAACTGACTAAGTAGAAGATGTGAACAATCTTTTCCCTCCCTTCCATTCAGGTTTTCATGGACGAATGCTTTGGTGGCACAGCACACCTAGACCCCAAGTCAGAGATGGAGAATATGTAGCCCTCCACATACTGCTGACTTCCAGCTTCCCTCACATTTGATCATATGGGAGTTCTGGTTTAAAAACTTCTCCATCCCCATCCAAGGATGAGCCATGCCTCAGACCCAACAGAAAAAGACTTGAAACTAACTACCTTAAGCTCTAAGAATACCTTTCAGCTGAAACAAAGGAAAAAAAATGGTATAATTATTATTGTACAACAGAAGACTGGAGTAGAACTGAGAAGGTAAAGACTTGTTTATCAAGCTTGATTTCTGGTAACTTAGGCTTTACAAGGGTTTTGAAAAGAGTGCTTTTCAAAGTGTGTTAGCACAAGCAAATCTCCTCTTCTTGAAGGAATGGGGACTTCTGGTTGGTATGGCAACAAATTCAATGTACAAATTTGGTTCACTCCCAACTTAGGGAGATTTCTCCTCATCTTTTGACTGCTTAATTGGTAAGCAGGGAACGAGTTTTGGTTCTGTTCTGTGGTGACAAATTATGGGCCTAAAATTGAGAAGACAAAGAAAACAAGGACCCTTCTTCAGAAGTCAGAAAACTTAATGTAGCTGAAGAAAAACAGCCAAAAGGTTTAGATTCAATTGAATTTATTCCTGACCCACCAGAGAAAGTACAGCAAAAGAAAGCTACATGAAGTTGCTTATCCTTTTAAAAGCTCTTTTAAGAGATGAAGCAGAGATCTGATGCTTTAGATCAGAAAATGGCAGTTTAAAACTTTAGCAATTGATTCACATAAAATAATTAGCTTGAAAATTCCAATAAACAGTGTGCTACAGAGGTTGAAATAGTGTTGAAAGCAAACAAAGATATTCAACATGAATTCACCCATTTACAGGGCCTATTTTGTAGAAATACTTTATGATTTTTAAATGTACCTTACAATGCCAAGATCAGTCTTTATGGAGAAATTTTTATAAGATTTTTTTAGTGCAGCCAAACACAAGCTTGAGATTGAAACTGCTTATTGTGCGGGTCTCTGGTTTTATTTAGTGCAAAAACCTAGTTCAAACTGCTGTAAGAATTGTTAAAGAGCTAGAGTAGGGGATCATATGACGTATTTATCTCAGCAAGTGGGATCCTTGGAATATAATGCAAATATGATAATTAATCTTCCAGATCTGCTTCCAGAAATGGTTCAGAGGTTGGAGCTATTCAGTAAAGCTTGTTTGGCAGCAAAACAAAAACAGACTACACATTTTCCAGCAAATTTTTGTTTATATCTGGTGAAGATTTTTTTTTTATAACAAGTTTATTATTACAAATAAGTAAATAAGTTTATTGTTCTGGAATCATATAAAGCAAAATGGTAGCAATCATTTTCAATATTTAATATTTTTCATACTTTTTAGAAGTTCCAATGAAAGGAACAATATTTTTCATATCTATTGGACACTTCAGATAATTTTTAAAAAAGATTAGCAACTTCAATATGCTGAAAGTATAAAACGGAGTGAATACCTATACATATGATAAGGACTTGCTCCACTATTGTCCCATTTTGGTTTCCATAAACCTGTTATATCCATAAACCTGTTATATAGCTATAGGAAGAGTAATTTGGTTTAAATATGTGAATGTGACTTTGAATTACAAATAAAAAATCTGGAATTTCTCACTGCATGCATAACTATGGATTGGGGCATAATAAAAAAGATTATAATTTTATGATGAAAAAGTGCCACACCAGGTTTACAAACTTGGATTGATTATATATATGTTTGGTTATGAACCAGTTCTTTCTTGACATAAATCAGTCAAGGTTATGCTGCTTTTAAAAACTAAGCTATTTTTAATATGTATATTTTTATGTAATTTTCCTTTTCCATTCTTTTTTTTCTTTTTTCCTTTCTTTCTATGTACTCATACAATTACTCACTGATAGACAAATAGAGCTTAAGATGGTATAATAGCACTCCCTCCTATTTTACCCACAAAAGCTTGGAGAAGTAGGTTGGGCTGATTATTCAAATTATGTTGCTGATTGCCTGCATATTCATGCATAGCAGATTTCCATACTTTAGAGCAGCCAGAAGTCCAATCTTCAGAGCTCCCACGTGAGCCTCCTAAAGGAGGTGGCTGCTTTAAAACTTCAAAATAGAATGCTTTCTTCATGCAAAAATACTTTGCTTAGCACAGCCCTACCTAGTGATTTTATGGACACATTTATGAGCTTTGGTGCTACCTTCTTCCAGAATAATTTTATTTGTTTACTTCCCAATCCAGTTTATAGCCCTGCACTTCTCATAACCCTCCAGCCAAATCCTAACTAGATCCAAACCTGCTTAACTTTTTCAAGATCAGCCAAGTTTGGCTAGAAGAACCCAAATTCTAATTCCCATTTAATCCGGAAACTCCTAAATGACTTGGGCTGTTGGCTATCTCTCAGCTAACTCATTGTTATGGGGATTGGGGGGCTCAGGTAATGCACTGTGAACTTTTAGAGAAAAGGAGAGATGCAAACGTACCAAGAATCACTATATTTAATTCATAATTCTTGTTCTGACAAAAGGTATTCATATTCTATAAAATAATTCCAGCTGAGTTTCTAGAGTTAACAGAGTGCCATGCTACAGTATTATCTTTCCATTCAATCACCATAAAGTTTCATGATTTAAAATATATACACTTAATCAGCAGAAAAGATTTATACCTCACACAGATTCCTTTTTCTATTTTTAAAACATTTTCTATAATAGCTAGACATAGATAACTTCCGACTCAGGGAGGGGAAGCAGGAAACAAATTAAAGAAAGTATAGATATGTTACAATGATTGAATGTTCTGGTCTGGTTGCCAGCTTACCTTGTTAAAGAACTTGACAGGGGCTGCTACTGAACCTGTTTCCCTGAGGTAGTCAAACCATTTGAAAGGTAGTTTTGCATAACCTACAAGTTAATAGTTATTATATAGTAACACCATAAAGAAACATTGTTCTGATCCTTAAGTAAAAATATGTATTTACTATTGTATTTTTATTCCTGTCCTATAATACAATTTATGAGATTCATAAAACAAAAACATTAAAATACTATAAAAATAAGAGCTGTTAAAAATAAGGTCATTAAAATGTATTTTCACACTAAGATACCAGACAAAATATTTCAAAGGACTCTAGTGCCAAAAAGACCCTAAAAGGCTGCCAGAGGCTCTTTGGCATCACTGTTCCATAACCAACAAAAGAGAACGCCCTCTCCCAAAGAGTTATCTACCTGTCTTCATCTGAGGGGAGCAGTTGAAGCAGAGCCTCTAAAGATCAGAGTTCATACATATATCAAGTTCCTAAGTGGGTCTATTTATGTCAGTATTGACTCCTCTGACTGTCAAGCAGATCTCAGGAAGAAAACTTCTTAACTCATAAAAAGCCCTACAATATTCATAGGTGAAGCTGGGGATGGAACTTAGGGAATACATATGCATATTATACCTATGTCTTATTTCTGAGTCATGGCACTTTTTGCTGTAGGAAAGAAAGTGAAAACAAACGGACCTCAAACACATACAAATCACACTTGAACGGAAGGCAGCTCACAGATTTAAATGTCAGAAAATGTAGCCTACATGCTCCTCTTAGACTCCAGATATTTTTGCCAACTAAGCTCAGTGGGAACTTGCAGGGTCCCTGCAGTTTTGAATGCTTTCTGTTCTGAAGTCTAACAAACTCTGTTACAGTATTGCTAAAGAGCAGGAACTACTGTTCTTTTCCTGAGGGGGGGGGGAATCAAGCTCTCTCAAAGAAGACTTCACCTTTTAATTTCTAGACTGAAAAGTTCCCCAACTATGCAGCTCCTTGTGGTGAAACAGTATGTGTCTGCTCCTAAATGAATCCTATTCTGTACACAAATCATGAGAACTAAATACTGGTATGTGGAAGACTATTTAGACTATTTCTAAATAGTCCAACAATCAGTCAATCTTCTCAAAAGTTGACAGAAAATAACTATTTACTGAAGAAAGCACGCTTTACTATGAATAGGACAACGTGATATAGAGAGGAAAATCTGCTGGGGCTTTCAGCGGAGCAGTTCTTTAATTGGAGATTTGGTTTTATAGGGAGGTTACATTGGCTTCCTTATTTGATTTTAGACAGCTGATAAAAATGATATCCATCCTTGATGGGATGCCATTCTTTGATTCTGCACTGTGCGACTGGTTTATTATATATTTATTTTATCAGTTTTATTTTAGAAACTTATTTATTTTTAAAATGTTGTATTTTAGTTTTTTATTTATTTTTTAGTTATAAATTGCTTGAAACATTCATTAATGGTGAGACAATCCAACACGCATAAAATAATTAGGAAGAAACTATGCTACTACTAGTCTAGCATTTATTCTCAGATCATACACAACAGCAGCAGGGCAATTCCTTTAGTCTTTGCTCTGTATCAAGTGTAAGGTTTTTAGAGGAAGCAAAACAAAGAAAGAAAATGATACATCCAAACCAAATCCTCCAAAGGCCATAGTCAGTAGTAAAATAACATTTTCTGCTCAACTGTTGGCTAAGCAACTTCAAACTAGAAGTTAACTGAAATCTGGAAGAAAGGGCAGATGTTTTACAAACTAATTTAAGAAGATTATTCCACGCAAAATTATTTTCAAAATATGTGTGTATATATACAAGGCAAGAAAATATGAATACCTCGGGGTGGAGTTAGTTCTATCATGTTAATTTCACAGAAACCAACAGGGAATATAGAAGGGGAGGTTGCATGGTAACAAAACCAGTCAGACCCATCAGCTGCCTCAGATCCATCAATTCCAATCATAAGATATCCATCTGCTAATACCTAGAGTTAAATTTAAAAAATGAATACAAAGCAATGCAAGAGGGGAAAGACATGAAGTGACAAGTAATTCAGCTGCAACAGGCAATATAAATTAAAGCATATGTAACACTACTCCAATTAACATTCAGATAGATAGACAGACAGACAAACAGACAATCACTGCTATTCCTTAAACAGAATTAAAAGAGCTAAGCCGGTCATGGGGATTATGCACTGTCTACCCTTAAGTGATGGGAGCACCCCATACCCTCTAAACCATGGTAAAGGATTCTAAACATAAAGAGGATTTTACATCAGATTTTGCAGAGAAACCTGGTTACATTAACCATAAAGTCTCCCTTGAATCAAGCTTAACTCCTAGTGACAACATGGATATATCTATGTTGTTTTCTTAGCAACAATACAAAAAGTATATGCCATTGCCTTCTTTCAGAATGCTGTTTTGACTTCCCAATCTAATCTACTGCCCTAGCACTTCTTAGTGGTCATCCGTCTTAAATGTGCAACCCTGTCAGCTTTTTCCAGATCAACCCAGGTCAGCTAAGTATATAATATACTGGTACTTTTAAAAATGATTCTGATTTTAGTATGGGATATAAATAATCTACCAGCTAATTCAGCTGCTTTATATAAATAGTCCATATGTTATGCAATTGGTCCCTGTGTTCTATTAGTGTTGTCAAGCTAGGGGCTCCCTTTAACACAAACATGGAATTTAACCTGATATTAGGTAGAATTAAGAATATTAAATAAATAATTATTTGACTATATTGTTGCCCTGTAAACATAGAGGGAGAAATAGCCTTATTGGCTGCCTCCAGCTCTCGTTCCCCACCATACAAGATAATTATCTTTACCTTTCTAATTGTTGCCACACATATAGCAGAAAGGTTTAAGGGATCTATGGCTTCCAATTTCATCCCCTCTTTGAACCATTCTCCACTGGACTCAGCTTCTTTTACCTAAAAAATACGCATAGCATTCATCTTTCTAAGGCAACCAACAGCAGCAACAGAAAGTCATAAAAGTATGATATGTGGCAAAAAACAGAGAGTCCAAAACAGCTCTTAAAGCATTATTTTCTATGCACAATATTCAGTCTTTCTGTATATATTTTAGATGCATCATTTTCATTCAGATGCAAATTCATTTCTCTCCATTTTCATTTATTTTATTTTATTGTAGTCTACAGTGTAGTGTACATGTATTGTAGTGTACATTCTTCTACAGTAGGGATTATATGTGATTTCCATCAAAGGCACAGAATGTCCTTGCAACTGTTACCGCATATAAAGCTAACCCAGTATACTTTGTGGGAATATAAGGTCTGGTAAAATTTAAAATAAAAACAGCTAGTTGGAAAGAGAATTCAATCTTTAAAATATGTCTCATTCTTTGATAAATCATCTGCCATCAAATATGAAAGAATGATCTGACCTGACTTTTGAATTTCCAACAATTTTTAGAAAACTTGTATTCTGTTTACTGGAATAATATATCAATGGTAAAATATCTTGTACCAGTTTTCTCTCTGTATAATATTCACAGTAAATTGTCTCCATTTATATTCCCATTGTTGCATATCAAATTTTCCTGTTTAAATTCTACATCTGTTTAACCATATAGTCTTTAAATTGTTCAATTTTTGGATCATATTTCACTAGCTTTGTAAATAAGCCCCAACAAATGTTCTCAGTTTTGTGTTACTGTATAGGTTTTTCAAATTTGCTCAATGTTCTAAATATTCCACTTTGTTTTTTGAAATTCCTTTAGAACTATGCTACTTATTTGAAGATAGATAGAAACTTTATTTCAGTCACTGACCAATAAAATACAGTCTATAAAACAAATAAAGCAAAATTATCCCCTAACATCAATAATTGTTAGCAACCATTTGTGGATGAAGCTTACATATAATGTAGCAGAATTTTGCTACTTTTAGAGAAATACATGTATCTTAGTTGTTTAACTGATAATGCAAATACAAATTATCAGAGTGCCCTGGAAATTTAAATAAAAGGGGGGTAATCAACTGGTGGCATATGTCCCTGTAGAACTGACAGTACAAAAGAACACAGGCTGTGGTTTCAGGGTCACAGGGAGATATTGAAACCAATACAGTAATTCTGACCAACTCGAAAGACTTCATCTTTGTTTTGTTAATGGTTAAACCTTCCAGTCTACAGGTATATGAAGTATTATCCCTCCATTGTTGTATATTCACCTTCATGAAAATAAATGTTTAATACTGAAGCAAGGGGTGATCAGTCTGGGCTAATTCTTTTTCTATATTTATCCCATACTTTTAATATGCTGCTAATAGTCGACTGATTCGGTTGTAAATATCTGTCTTTACTGAACCAAAGATATTTATGCAAACCATCTTGGAGTCAAGTCCCTGAACAAAGGCAGTTCAGCCATAAAGGGATATAATCCAGTCTGTAATCCAAGTTAGACAGCTAGCTTGATAATGCAGTTTGAAATTTGGAACTGCCAATCTGCCTTGTTCCTTAAAGTTTTGTAAAATCTGAAGTTTAATCTTCGGCCTTTTATTGGACCACATCAAGTTAGTTATTTGCCTCCGCCACTTGTTTTATACCTTGTCTTCAAATCTTATTGGAGTCATTTGAAATGTTAAGCCTTGGTAAACCTTATCTATTAAATACTTACATTCTCTAAAACTGATAAATAATTTCTTCACTATAAATAAAGTTGCTTCTAAAATATCATACCTTAGCAAATAAATGTGAGGGTGCATCAAAGTGACCATCTTGCTTCTTCGTGATATCTATGAAGAGAAGGGAAAAATTAAGGCTGTCTTCTCTACTACCTGAAATACATGATCTCATAAAAGTATTATTGGTCAAACATGTAACTGATAAAAACATAGCAAGACATTTTGAAAGTCGACATAAATATTAATGTAATATATTAGTATATTTGTGACAGGGAGACTTATGTTACAATATAATTTTAAATGCCTTTATCTAAAAGAACAAATGCTGTTCACTCAGTTTCATCGTTACATCCTAACTTACCAGATCTTTTGAATCGATGTCCTATACTCCGAGACCAACCAATGGGATGAATGAGTGGGCTGTACATATGGCACCAGAAGTCATCTGTTTTGTCCTCACTTTCTTCATATACTAATCTTAACCTGCCTCCAATTACACTGTCAACAATTGCTACCCGTGTTCGGCAGAGGTGTGTTTTATCAACAACTTCTACTCTCATAGAAGGCTTGAAAGGATACTGCATGCTTTCAGACACCTGAAAACAAATAATTGTGCAGCATTAATGTATGTGTATCTGCAAACAGATTATCCAACATATTTCCACAAAGCCACAAAGGTCTGTATATATTAAATTAGTTTTCAGAGAATACAAAGAGCAGAACACCAAATGTCAATATCATCTTACAACTTTTCTGTATGTGGTTGCTGCAAGAACTGTACTACCTCTCCATTAATTTCAAACACAGCTCAGTCCTAAAATCATTTTGATTTATTCTGCCTCAGGCTAGTGTGCTCTCGTTAATGCATCCACTTGCCCACCCTACATGCAGAGATCTTAAAGAGGGCCTTAGAGTAGGGCCTCTATTGTAATTAAATCGATGGATATAAAGAGTGGAGATTTCTCAAAATTTTTCTGAGCTTGATAATCCCGCTCTACTTTTGCTGTTAAAAAATAATTTCAGCAGATAGGAGACTCACCATGAGAGCTTGATAAATACACTTCTGATGTGTCATGGATTTTATTCAATGATTTATTAATAATTATAAGATGCTCTTTTATAATTTTTACATTATATTGTAAGATCCTATTGCACTGACAATAGAAATTTGTACTTCTGTCAAAATATAAATTCTTACAATAAAGCTAATACTAATCTATGATCAGTTCTATACAAGAGAATACATACACATACAATATGTATTCTCTCACTTTTTATGGTGAAATTGCCAATCTACACAGATGACTTTTTTGTGTGGCCTCAACCTTAGGCCTTTACTTTCATTTGTATACCTATGTTAATCAGAATTTAATACTTTACACTGACTTCCTATTGACATACAGTTCAGATATTTAGCCCATCTCTTGGGCAAAGGTATTAGGTATCTACTTATGAGGACCCCAAACAGTGCCAGAATTTTAGGGGAAGAAAACTTGATCAGAACATTTAGAAGAAGGTACTGACAATGAGCTCTCAGAGTTTAGTTACTGTACAATCTTTTATTCAGACAGTCTAGAGCAGGGTTTCTTAAACGTTTTGCTCTCAGAACCTCTTCCCACTTTTAAAAATTATGGAGGACCTCAAAAGAGCTTTTGTTCATATGGCTTATATTTATGAATATTTACCATATTAAAAATTAAAAATGATGCATTCATACAATGTTTATTTATTGAATCATGTAAAAATAACAATATTAAACCCATTAAATATTAACATACATACAATATTTTTCATGAAAAAAAATTATATTTAGGTGCAGTGATGGGACAGATAAACACATATTCTTTGGTTTTATCCCCAGGGCTGTTTTTCAAGCTTGCAAAAATCCCTCCCACAGGATTGAAGGAGACTCCCCAAACTGATTTAACACTTCTTTCATTAGCAAAACTCCCACACTTCTGTCACTCTCACCTTCTGAGAGAAGTCAGGAGGAAGAGTTTTGGCACCAGTGAGTCTTTTCACCAGAAAAGCTTTCCAATTTGTATATTTGTGTTGAATGGCTGTCAGGAAAAAAAACAAGCATTAGCTATTTAAACTTTGTATTAAGAAACCCTGAATGAACATCAACAAGTTTAGTGGTAATCCAAATGTATTATTTATTGGGCAAATGCACAAAAGTTTTTGATAATCAAAGAAACTCAAACCTCTTGATACTTTATAGTGCTCACAATTTTAAAACAGGACAGGCACTCCTAAATTTGAATTAAAAGTTCATGTTTAACACAATCACCATCAACACAGAGAGAGAATGAGATGAATAATTCAAACTATTAGTGCTATATTTACATACATCGCGGTGGAACTAGAGGTTTCCCACTGGTTGCACACCAACCAACTGGATGGATATCAGGACCACAGATGTTACACCAGAAGTCAAGACTTGAATCACCTTCAAAGCCTTCATATCTTAATAAAGCATTGTAACCTGAAAGAGAGCAATGCACGCCAATTCACATCAAGAATGTATAGAAATTGATCTCCAACAATCTGTAATTGTTTCTGGAAAATGGTGGGGGGGCAATGTTGTTGAGATGTCACTTCCATTATAGGCTGTGGAAAAAAGAGAACCTACACCTTCTTTTGAGGTACCAATAAAGGAAGAACTGGTGAACTTCATTATGCTGAAAATATGCAATGGATGAGGGAGCAGTTACTTATATGATACAGACTTGTCCCACTATTGCTCCATTTTACTTGCCATTATGATATTACAAAGATCAATATAGTTTAAAGATGTTAATATGTTTCTGAAACTTTTAGCAACAGAAGCAGGTGGTAGCTATATGTAGCCAAAAATGGTGACATCTGAGCAGAGGCATGAACAATTATAAGAAAGTACAAATAAAAGATGAGGCCAATTATCTTGCTGGTAGTTTACCTAGCACTTAAGGTATTGCTCTAAGGTTTCATTTGTCTTCTCCATCTGACTCTGAATGATGGGCAGAGGACAGGTAGTGTTTTAAATCCAATATGTGAGGAATTATGCAGAGTGAGAAAGAAAGAGAAGAATTTCTAGACACAACAATCAGGAGATGAGATATGCTGTTGCTTGCTTATCAAAGAAATGAATTCTTAGTCTGTCATGCAAACAACCTAGAAAAAGGAATCTAAAGGTTTCAGGGAAACCCTGTCTTAATAAATTCACTAAAGAAGGAGGGCCACAGAGTTCCCATTCTCAAAATGCTATAATTTAACCCCTAATTTTTGGCATTAAAACTCATGAGAAAGTCCATGGGAATCTTGCTTCCTTGATTGAGTTCTGCAGTTGAAGAGCTTGACACAATAGCTGAAATACAGCTTTCAAAAAATATACCATGAATTCTGCTCCTGCCAGAGGTGAGGCGAGTTGTAAATCAAGTTTACAGTGGGGCAAAAAAGTATTTAGTCAGCCACCAATTGTGCAAGTTCTCCCACTTAAAAAGATGAGAGAGGCCTGTAATTTTCATCGAGACAAAATGAGAAAAAAAATCCAGAAAATCACATTGTCTGATTTTTAAAGAATTTATTTGCAAATCATGGTGGAAAATAAGGAGACAAAATGAGAAAAAAAATCCAGAAAATCACATTGTCTGATTTTTAAAGAATTTATTTGCAAATCATGGTGGAAAATAAGGAGACAAAATGAGAAAAAAAATCCAGAAAATCACATTGTCTGATTTTTAAAGAATTTATTTGCAAATCATGGTGGAAAATAAGGAGACAAAATGAGAAAAAAAATCCAGAAAATCACATTGTCTGATTTTTAAAGAATTTATTTGCAAATCATGGTGGAAAATAAGGAGACAAAATGAGAAAAAAAATCCAGAAAATCACATTGTCTGATTTTTAAAGAATTTATTTGCAAATCATGGTGGAAAATAAGGAGACAAAATGAGAAAAAAAATCCAGAAAATCACATTGTCTGATTTTTAAAGAATTTATTTGCAAATCATGGTGGAAAATAAGAAAAAGATGAGAGAGGCCTGTAATTTTCATCATAGGTATACCTCAACTATGAGAGACAAAATGGGGGATGAAAATTACAGGCCTCTCTCATCTTTTTAAGTGGGAGAACTTGCACAATTGGTGGCTGACTAAATACTTTTTTTGCCCCACTGTATGTAATCATAGGTTGCTCAACAAATATTTCAGGATAGATGGAATGCCACAACAGGGAATGAAATGGACCATCTTGGAAAAGAAATCAGATACCATCCAAATGACATCCAGGTCTTTTGATATGTAGCACATCAGTAATAAACTCCAAGGAAACTGCATCCCAAGATCATTGTATGGAGGAGAGGGAATGCAACAATCTACATGGTTCACTAGTTAAAGGCTTGGACTGTGATTAGTGTGGCATAAATAATAAGGCTCTCGAACAGGGCCACCAAAAAATCAGAGCAGACAGATTGTTTTAAATGTTGCAAAATGCCCAACTGATCAGCTATTATGACACAGTTCTTCCCTGCCATGTGAGCTCACGAAAAGTTTTTAAGTGTTCCAAATCTTGTACTAAATTCAGAATTCTATAGTGCATCCCATGCCTTCAAAGACAGGGTGCTAATGCTGAAAAGCTTCCTTGATGGACAAAGTTTCTTTGTTAAAAACATCATAGTTCCTTTTAGTTGGAAGGAGATGCATGGAAGGGAATGTACTATACATGGAGGAGGTGGTCCTCAAACTCTAGAATAGACTATAGAAGCACGGTTCACAAGTTTCTTCTCCCAAGAAGAAATCCTTCTTAACAA